GCACGACATGGGCCAGCAGTATAGAATTCAAGTCACTTGGGTGCCGCCTAAACAAGGGGGAATTGAGGGTAATTGCACAGCAAGTTAGCAAGGAAAAGTAAGACCACGCACATTCTTCTGGGTAATGACACTTTTGGTATACGAATGGATAACTTTAAAATGGTAATGGTATTTAAAAATCATACCAATCTAGTAGCCAAGGAACGCTGGAAAACCCTTTGGTTAGTTGCAATTCGTAACTCAATGCGATTCAATAGGCAATACTAAGTGCCTAGTACTCGACTCCGAATGATTTTCTTTTGGAATCGTAATAAAGAGTAGACCCCCAGGATTACCTATACTCCTCGATAGTAATAAATTCACATCACTGATCCCGTCCACTGGCTAATTGGCTAACTACTTGCGATGAGACTAAACATGGGTTCAAGTAGAAGAAAACTACACTTGATTGACAAACACCGAAGGGGACTGGTAATTATGTGGCTTCGGTAACAGAAAGAACCTACATAACGGGTGATTTTTTTGAGGTTAGGATTTTCATGCATTAGTATTTGACAGATCACGTGGGATTTCAGACATGGTGTCAAAGAGAAAGATGCTCAGTATGCTTTGACATTTCATCATGAATAGACTTACTAACGAGCAACGCTTGCAAATCATTGAATTTTATTACCAAAATCAGTGTTCGGTTCGCTTTACGTCCGATTTATGGTCTACATAATCGACCAAGTGAGCAAACAATTAATGCGATTGTGACCAAGTTTCGCACTCAGTTTACTTTATTGGACATTAAACCAACCACACGAATGCGTACAGTGCGTACAGAAGAGAATATTGCGTCTGTTTCTGAGAGTGTTGCTGAAGACCGTGAAATGTCGATTCGTCGCCGTTCGCAGCAATTGGGTTTGCGAAACACATTTCGAACCGAACACTGATTTTGGTAATAAAATTCAATGATTTGCAAGCGTTGCTCGTTAGTAAGTCTATTCATGATGAAATGTCAAAGCATACTGAGCATCTTTCTCTTTGACACCATGTCTGAAATCCCACGTGATCTGTCAAATACTAATGCATGAAAATCCTAACCTCAAAAAAATCACCCGTTATATGCCTTTCGAACATTTCAACTTAACCTAACTTAGCACAGCGGCCCACAGTGTGGAATATTTATGGACTATTTTATGGCAAAATATTTCGAGAATGAGAACAGATAAAGAAATAAATCTAACGGTATTTTATAGCCAAAGTGATGGAGAACAGGACGCAAATATTTTCCGGACGCTCCCGATGAAACCCGCAACTTTCGAAAACTCGGAATATCTTCCTGTAAAAAGTTGTATGAAAAAAGTAACTTTTTCAGGTACCTTAACCGCAATAATTTTTATAAGAACAATCATAATTTAATTGTTATTCCTTTTATTCGATCATCTCTTACATATTTGTGATTACTTCGTGACTAAAATTTTTTCGATAAAAACTAATCTTAATTTTTTTTAGTTATAATAGAGACTGCATTTTTGTAAAGGTTATAATATGACCGAAAAAATAAAAATCATAAAATAAGGATTAAAAATTAGCGGAAAAACTCCAAGAATAACGATTATCTTCACGATTTTGCAATTGGGTGGTTCACAAGGTGTCGTACTTGTGGTATTGTTGTATGTTGTAAAGATTTTAACGGCTAAATAAACGTTTAGACGACTTGAAATCACCACCAACTATTTTTTAATTGTGTGAAATTTCATAATAAAACTTTTATGTTAGCTTGCGAATTCCTTAAATATAGTTTTAGCCGTTTAAAGTTTATGACATACAACAGTACGACAGTATACAACACCTTGTAAACTCCCTAAATGATTTTAATATATAAATCCTTCATAATAACGATTGTTTTCTACCCCTGGTTTTGTTACATTTCATTGAAACGAAAATTAAAAACGCGATTAACTCAGTGAGAGGGCAGGATGAATTATGTACTTAAAAATTTATTCAAGCAAAAATACTTCGGGTAGGCGTCGGGGCCAATGATAACCATCAGTTAGCACCTCTGCATGATTGTAAGTCATGCAGAGTCCTTACGGCTTATAGCGCTGTGGCTTTGCGGTTTAGAAAACTCTAAAAGAGTTTTTTGAGGGAGTGTTGAACACCGGTTATGTATTTATGTATGTCAAAAATGTGAGTAGGCGCAGTTGGCCAATGGTAACTTTTGTACCGTGAGACAACTCCGGAGGAGTCCTGATGCATCAAGCGGGAGTGTTGAGCATGATTCGGGGGGCCAGAAATTAACTACTTTAGTAGGTTTTTTTCTGCGGCAGTTGAGAAGTGCATGTGCATAAACAGTGTTTGCATTTCACACATGTTTGTATTTATATACAAACGTGCTTTATATCCGGTTTGGTACCAGTTTCTTGGGGTGTAGCATACCTTTATGCACTATGTTTAGCTGAGGGAGAGCGGGAGACCAGGTTTAGAGTTGTGATCGAGTTAGGGGAGTAGAGGAGATAGGGATAACGTTTGCTGCAAATGTTTATATATCAAGCTCAATGAACCCATATGGTTTATAGAGAGGCTTAGAGAGAGAGAGAGAGAGAGAGAGAGAGAGAGAGATGTGAGCAAGCCGACGAAGCTGTAGCGAATGATGTGACCATTTTACCATTTATTAATTGGGGGACTCCATTGGAGGAGTCATGCTCTAGCTGCCGTAGCCTGCTATGCAGAGCCCCTGTGTCGCGCTTGCAAGCCGTAGCTAAGCACCATCTCAAAAATTACTCAGCGAGTGGAGTGGGAGTGATGCTTAAAGCAGCGTGTGATAGTCAAGCTAGGTTAGCGTTGACCATGGGGTGAGGGAGATATCTAGCATGGGGCTGTTGACCCCTGTGGTGAGCGATTTATCACTTCATTAAGATCAGCGACGAGAGGTTTGAGAATTGCATAAAATTGGTCTATCCGTGTGTGTGTTCGCCGTTCTTTGTTTCTGGGGAAAATGCATAAGTCGCTTAAACATCCTGGCCCCCTAGACGACTTGATCGTCTAGTGGACTGTACTATGCAGAGGGGAAGACACGCGGAGAGGTTAGGGACCGCTATAATGACTTATGCAGGGGCTGCAGAAATGAAGAAGAAGAAGACGAAAGTTTATGGATTCAGGGTTTAGCGAAATCCAGACAATTGTTTCAGTAGGAAGGTTCTAACGATCCGCGAGGTATCACGACTGGCAGCAACTTCAACCTAACCTAACCTATTGTCCTCGGTACAGCAGTATGTCGAAAAGTTTTGAAATGGGTCTAATTACGCATATTTCCCACACAAAAGTAAATTTCAGATACACGAAAGCTCCGATATTTCCCATAACTAAAGATGATTATTTACTCCAAGTTATACCACTTACAACAATCCCTTAACAAGAAATAAGATTGTTTAAGATTTTTGAGAAAATAGGCGGGGCATCGTCCACTTATGACTAGGAAGTGTATTCCGATAACCGTTTTACCGATTTTTAGAAAACTACGTTCAACTATTTCATTAAGTTTAACTGAGCTTATTATAGAAAATATTTGCAGTCGAGAAAAAACACCCGTGCTTATTATTTAAAGGTAGTTTAGAGTGAGTTGAAAATCCGATATATAAAAGCTGATCCAATACTTTTCGTGTAAAATCCTGTAAAAATGTCAAACAGCAAAATTACTCTCTGAAGTGAGTGAGTAATAACCAAAAAGTACGGGTACAAAAAAGCATTCTTCCTGTAAAAACGTCAAACAGCTGTTCGCTTGACACTTTTCATGATTTCACCAGAAAAAAAGTTCGGGTAAAACCTGGGAACTTCATTCTCTACACAACTCTCCAAAAATCGCTCTCATTTTTAGGATTTTGGAGTAAGTATGGGATCATTTTTTATCTAACTTCCTGCAAGTTTGTGTAAAAACCTGTAAGTTCTTGGAGTACAGGGCCAGAGCTAAAGTTCCGTTTCGTCCGAACTTATACACTTTTACGTGTTATTATTTACTTGTTAATTTATTTTTTAAATTTTTTGGAACTTGCATTTTTTTTGAACAAAAATTTTTTATTTCTCTCTCCCACTCCACTACCATCACAGCACATTTTCATTTACTCTCTATCGCGTGTTTAGACTTTTTCTAACCGCTTTTGTAATTTTGTTTCTTCATATCGTTTTCACCACTTGCACTAACTTCCCACAAAAACTTCATTTCGCCTGCGTTGCATTTTCTTATTCGCACTGCACTCATTTTGTTTTACTTCATTTTCACTCGCTTATGTACATACATAAATATGTATACATATATATATATATATATATGAAATACATAAAAATTTATGTGTCGGCAAATGCCAGACCTAGAAATGTTTACAGGCCACCAAACGGACGCAATTGGCTGCAGTGCATTTAGCCCAAAGTCCACCAAAAAAAAAATAGAAAATTTATTGTGGGGTAATTTAGACAATTTACACGCGTTTCAATTTCACTTTGTTTTCCAATTAAGCTTTTAATTGTGCGCAGGCATTGGGGCAGCAAAATATTTAACGTCGAAGCAAAAAAAAAAAAAAACAAACAGAAACGAATAACGCCTAGATAGGTACATACATACACACAATCGAAAACACAATTTAGTAGATTTCAGCCATAAAACATTAAAACTGTATCAATTTGTATGTTTGTAGGAAAAAACACTCAAACGAATTTCACAAATTATTGCCGACTGGGTAAGAGCAAAACGATTGATTTGGTAAAAAAAAATGCATACGAAGACGTGCGCGATCAGCAGCAGCAGCAGCAGCAGCAGCAGCGCTAAGTACCGCCGAATTTACACTTAAAACACTTCGTTGTTTTCGTTGCGTTCAATATATTTTTTTTTAAGATTTTTTATAAAATTTCTAGCGTCGATACACCAAAGAAAAAAACCAACAAGCGCACATTCTTTCGCCGGATCCGTATCCGCTGCTGTTCTACAAACGTACATGCATATGTGTGTCAGATCGACTAACCAACAACAATAAATAAAAAAACGAAATTAAACAGCGACACCGTTGTTGCACCTACGTACGTTTACACTCACTGACAGTTTGCCATGTACTAAAGTCGCATATTCCAAACAATCGCCCGATTCCAAGTCGTTTTCATTACTTTTTCCCTGTTGCGAGCGAGTTTAACTCACCGCCCGCCACGCCAGCCCCGCTGCGCTAACCAACCCTCTTTTTCTCTTATTTGATACTCAGCTATATTGGGGCGATTTTTTGGTTTCTTTAATTTTTCCAACCCACCACATACATATTGTATCAGCGGCGTGCGTTCATGCCAGACAGCCAGCCGGTCAGCTGGGTGGTTAAGCAAACGTCAATCAAATATTAGCCAAAATAAAAAGCATCGATGCTAATTAGCTATGCAGCTGTTCCCCAGCACCAGCTACATAAATCATTCAGAATTTACCTGCCTGCGCTGGCGCTCACTAATTTTAGCTTCTGATATTTACAGTTTAGCGTCTAGGTTTTCCTACTTTTTGCTGTTGTTGCATGGAAAAACTATGCTTAATATTTTCCAGCTCGAGTGCTGTTTCACATATTCCATTTTCTACTAGTCCGCCACTTAATTTCTCTCGCTTCGTTCCTATTCAACGGTTTCGTTTCCAAACATTTTCTCTGCTCCAGCAATGTTCCAATTGCAGTTTCATTTCCAGCTGGTTCCAGCACCAGCACCAATTCCGGTTGGTGTTCCCCAATTGTCATTTCATTTCCATTCGCTAGACTGCGCGCATTTTGACAGCTCAAGCACTCAGCTGGTTTGTTTGCTTGCTGCCTTGTCATCGAAGCCAGAAAACTGCCCGCCACTCTCAACCCCCCCTGGGCTGATGCTATTCGTTTCGCTTGTAAACAGAGACAAAAGGCGATTGGCCTTTGTTGTTTGCACATTAGCGAGATTACGTTACTACACCAAGTATTCGCTCATGCAAGAGCCAGTCTGTATTTTTGTTAGCGTCAGTATCGCTTTTGTGGTGTTTTGCTAGTCGACAATCAGCTGATACTTATATTTTACGTTCCTTGTCTTATTTGACATTCTATATGTTGTTTTCTGTTTTATTTTGTATGCAATTCGCTCGTTCGAGATCAGTTAGTTTTTGCAGCAGCGAGTTTGACTGGTTAAGCTATGTTTACATCGGTCAAAGTTGCGGTAAAAAAAAAAATTTACAGCGGTACAATTCAATATACACACATACATACATACATACATGATATTGAAAGGAGAACCAGCGAAGCTATAAAGAGAGTGAAGGTACGTATGGATATCATCAAGATATTCAGAGGCAATATTGATTGGTAGCAGCAAGACCGTAGAGATAAAAAGACTCAGTGTTGGATCAGAAACTATAATATCAAAGCCCGAGTTGATCCCGATCAACGCTGCCGTCTGTTTATGCTTTTAAACATATTAAAAGAGTATTGGTTAGTGAAGTGGTCAGCTCAGTCTTACTCTACGGTCCTGCAATTTGGGCTGAAGCAATCGGTTTAAAATATAATGCACTAACGACTCCTTGTGGCTTCCGAACTATATCTGATGAAGCATCCTTCGTAATTGCCGGATTGATTCGAGTAGATATCCTAGCAAACGCAATACAAAGAATGTACAAACGCATATCTGTGGGAAATACCAGTTTAAACCGAAAAGGAGTCCCAGAGCAAGAGAGATGTCGCTCTATAAAAATCTGTCAAAAGCATTGGGTGAATCGGAAGAGGGAAGCTAGACTCACAAGCTCATTCCATTAAAAATTGGCTGAAAATAGCCCACAGAGAGTCAAACAGGGTTTTTCGGGCCCTGGCCCCTATCGAGAGTATTTAAAGAGATTTGGACACTGCTCGACTTGCACGGGTCTTATGGAAAATGCGACTCATAGTTTTCTTTTATCTTCGGTATGCCTCTGAAAGCCGAAACATACTGCAGGGAGCAACGTTGTAGACAACATGTTGAATTCAAAAGAGAACTAGCCTGAAATATGCGCACATATCACTTAAAGTATTAAGACGATCTAGAACCGGTTAAGTAACGCAGGGCGCCTATTGGCCAACCAGCACCAGCGGAGAGTGGTTTCTGGGGAGGTTTAGCACGCAGGTGTAGCTGCGAGGCTGCAAGTGCTGCATACGACTATGCCGGTATGGTAGAACTCACGGGAGTTCCCTTTTAACGGGCATCATACCAGAAAAAAAACTTCCATATACATATAGCCAAAATAATAACTAAGCCTATTCAAAGAAATTGTCAAAAACACTTGGGTTACTTTCAGCTCAAATCGATGGCCCCGAGCTGGTATATCTTAACTGGGCAATAGCCGTCAATCTTTCTTATCTTGAATGCCGTGGGAAATACTACCTTAAGTCGATGAGCTATCCTAACATTGTACTAACTCTGCGCTGGCAGATATTCTATCCTAAATAACTCAGACGCGCCTATTGCTTGTGTCACAACTCTACAGCTTAACAGAGTTTGACCTACGACAAAAGAAGGCGCACCTGCGTTAGGATAGTTGGATTGGTAGCGTTGAGTTAGTACAAAGTCAAGAAAGATCATCGAGTTAAGATGGTCTTTCGCACGGCATTAAGATAGGATAGATTCGCAGCTATTGACCAGCTCAGATAAAATAGCTTGGAGCGAAAAAATTTGTCAAAAAAGAGTAATTCAGGTATTTGACAAGGTACAAAGGTTTGCATAACGGAGAGCATGAAAACAACCGGCATAGAAAGCATGCAAGCTCTACTTAAAATAATACCGCTCCAGATAGCAATTCAATAGAAAGCTGGTATTTAGGTACGCATTCTACATATATAAAGGTGGGCATTGTCGTCGCCAAACCTCAGATTAAAGACCACGTTCATTCCACCATAAGCTTCCATACGCGGTATAAGATACGTCCCTAAACCTGGATGGTCCAAGTCGTCAAATACTGATAAATATTATTTGCTCTATTTGTTTCCTGGTAGTTGTAAAACTTTCTGTGGGTCAGCTAGCTGTAAGTTAGCCTAGCAGACTTACATATATTCAACTTTTTGTTTTTGATTTTTCGGAAATATATGCAGGAATTATGTGCTCATTATGGCCACTAAAAACAATTTAGGTGCTCAACTGGTTTGCGAGAAATTCGCTAAAATATTGAAAACCTAAGTTAATTGGGCGGCACCAATTAACACCTAAAAAGCATCTAACTCCTCCAAAATATTTTTTAATAATTAACCACTTTGGGTCAGAATCATTATGGGTGAGTGTGAATTAACATTCTAGGAGGAAACAACTTTTGGCGCAAAGCTAATTTTTTGGAGCTTTATCACAACTGTCATATAGCGTTATAGTCTTCAGATCGTAACGCCATACATAACATAGATTTTGAAATCAGGGAAATGTGTTAAAACCCAGAAAGTTCTTGAGAGTCTTAATCAACTGCTTGGCCATTAAATTAACCTAGAGCGACTAATCGCGCAAAAAGCTCCTTTTTTTTATTTTTTTTATGAAGGACTATTTAGATGCATTTCTGCATCAAAAGGAACATTTTGAAAATAAATGTCGCTTACGTTCTTTTGGCGGTAGGGCACGAATATTTTATACTAGAAAAGATCCGGCGTGCTTCGCTGCGCCTTCAAAGTATTTTTTTTTGGTGTTACTCCCTCTTCAGCAGGTATCGAAAGTCTAGAGAAAGAAGTCTGATGAGGAGATATGGTGATCTTCGAAAAGGCAGCTATAACTTCTACCGCTTAGACTTTGGTGCTTTTCCATTATTCCTAAACAAACAAAATCGTGGCATAAAGCTAATTAATTTTTCTTCAATTCTTTTAATTTAATATGTATTTGATTTATCTTATAATTTGAATAAATATAATTTTTCAAGCAGCTGGCAACCCTCTTAAGAAATATTTTCGGTTATAAGCCTTCTTAAAACTTTCTACCCATAGTGAAATATTTAATTTTTCTTATCAATTTAAATCAAGTAAATTTTTCAACCCTCAAAAATAATTTTAGCTCTAAGCCATTGCCAGCCAGCCAGTAGGCTCGCGAGGCAATGAGCGCTTTGTTTGTTATGTGTGCGTGTGTGTATTGCCTGGTACTACTCTAAGGCTTCTTAGCACTCCTTTTAACACCCATATTGCGATATTTCCTTTACCTTATCAATTTACTTAAACTAAAATTTTCAAACTGGTGGCAACTCTCTAAATTTTTTTCTTTTTAAACCATCCGGATAGTATACTGAGCAAATCAGAAAAGAAATATTCGAATCAATGAATCCGTTTTCGAGTTTTTGCCTTCTAACTGAATATTTTTATAGTATATCGACGCCTAACCGCAAAAACAACTTAACTCACATTTTTTTAATTTTTATTTTTTTTATGCAGAAATGTTTCTAGAGTAACGGTGTTTTTATATATATAATAGATAAACGTATGTAGCATAAAATTATCACATTAATTTGAGTTATCCACAAAGGAACTGCAATTAATCTGTCTGCCTTCTTATTATGCCATCCATTAATAGAAATAATTATGCAGAATCCACTTGATGTGGTCAAAGAAATGCATGCATGTGGATATAATTGTATATGTAAATATATGTTTATGACAATATTATATTCAGACAGATACATTTTTTTCATATGTCTGTGTTGACACGCGTACACGAATTCGTTAAGAAAGCCATACAGCGAAAGTAACAACAATTAAAAACATTTCCAAATACAAAATATGATATACTTATGTATGTACAAAGAAGTCAATTATTATTCCAGAATAATTTCCGTTTAATCACAAGCAAAGCTGCAATACTCTCCTTCAAGGTGAAAAGTAAAAAAAAAAAATAAAAATATGCAGGAAAATTAACTTGAAATTACAGACTTACAGAAATGAACAACAACAATGTGGGTTGAAGCGATCGATAAAAGTAGATATGTATGCACAAGTAATTAATTGGGAAACAGTATACTTTTCTTAGTGAATATCAAAAGGCCTTAAATCCTCATAGGCGCCAGCAAAAGTTAGCCGCTGAGTACAGTTGCTCCTCGACAGAGGAAAGGATGTTGAATAAATAATTGGGTGGATACAAACTTA